TCAAATTCCTAAAGTATGTAAGTAGCAGCACATTTTCCAAGTACTTTTTAAAGGTCAGTCATTCTGAACTGTTCATGTAACTCCACTGAACTATGTGCGTGGGCATGCATTTAATACAGTCACCTCCTATCCACACTGAAATGCTCTTGCTTGGTCTAGGTTCCAGAAACTGGCAAAGAGATTAATCAAATGTACCTGATATTTTGCTGCCTTAATGGATTCTTTGCTATAGCAATGAATCTGACAGAAAATGGCAGGCCAGATGTCTGGTTATTTTTGTTCCAACTCTATAAAAACAAACCACTGAGGGAAGGAAAGCCTTATATCCATTAACCATTTCTGAATAGAACAGACCAACGACATGGTTTCCTAACAAAGTTTTATTATGTAAAACTAACTATAAAATAAGAAGTTGCCACAGAAAATGTTTGGGGATGGTGTTTATGAATCAGTCTTTGATAGTGGTATAAAGCTAAATAGGAAAAAAATGGTCCCAAATATAAAAGATCTTTAACAACAAGATATACTGTAACTGAGTATAATTTTGGAAAGGATATGGAAACTATTGTAGCTAAGTCATTAAACATTTATCTAAGAAAAGCAATCAAATTTCCAAAGGAAGAAAGTTATTTTCTTTAGTCCCTATATAGGAACTAAGAGGATGAAATATGTTTTCATTAAATCTGATGACCACTGCATCTCTGCCAGAACCACTTTAGCATTCTGAAGAGCAAAGTGATTATGTAGATTACAGATAAGAGGTTTTCTCCTTCCAAATACAAGAGAAGCATTTACATATTTGAGCCTACTAAATGGTAAAACACATTGCTTAGATAATGTGCGAAAATATTACTAAAAGAAAGATCAAAAATAGCATGTTAAAGTTGACTAGTATCAGAGAAACTCTGACTTTTTTTTTGTGGTACTGGGGATAGAACTCAGGGCCTCATGCATGCGAGACAAACACTAAACCACTGAGCTATATCCCCAGCCCAGAAACTCTGACTTTTAATACATCTTAAGTTGAAGTATACTACCTAGATCAAAATTTAAAAGATCTAATTGGAATAAGATTTTTTTAAGTTTATATTTTAATCAATAAAAAATTTCAATCTGACATAAATCCTAACTTTTCTTAGTCTCATGTTACAATGCTGTATTTGTAATAGCATTATAAGCAGCCAATCACTTTATATACTAAAAAGTCATAAATTTAAATAATGAGACAACTATTATATCAGTTGAAACACACACACACACACTTCTTCACTAACAGTCAACTTTGCAACATGAATAATTTTTTTTTTTTTTTTTGAGATGAGATGGGGTCTTGCTATATTGCCCAGGCTGGTCTCAAACTCCTTGGGGGCTCAAGTGATCCTCTCACCTCAGTCTCCTGAGTAGTTGGAACTGTAAGCATGCACCATTGTGCCCAGGTAAGTAATTTTTTAAATGATAAATCATGTTATTATTATTATGGTTATATTTGTAAAATACAAATTTCCAAGGAAACATAAAACTGTAGCATGGGAAAAATGTTGGATTAGTGACTTTCTACTTTTCCTTCTGAATTTTCAGTTCATAAGATTATAAGCATTAAGAGAAAAATAACTATCATTGAATTTGTGTCTTTCACTTGTCACTAAAACTATTAGCTTCATAGGCCCAAATTCCACAATGGGTTTAGAAATCATCCCCAAGTGATAAGTGTCAGGGAGATGATAATTTAGGAAGGTACATCTGATGTATTGCTATAATCAGAAAAGTATCTAATAATACAGCCACTTTTACATAGTTTTTTAATACTAAAATCACCTCTTATGCCCCAGAATGGCCTTCTATTTTTTAACAAAGAAAATTTAATTGTTTCCAATATAAGCTTAATTTTCTTTTTTGGCATTGGGAATCAGTCATGCATTCTAGGTAAGCAGTCTACTACTGAGCTATATCCCTAGCCCATGCCTCAATCTCTAAAATGTTAATGCTCTAGTCCCTCTAACACCTATGAAGAATTAAAATTATTTCCATACAGAAGCTGTACCTATAAAAGCCATCAGAAGTACTTAGGAGAATTTATCCAATGCTTTTGTATTAAGAGAATTCTATTCTGCTTTAAATTCAGCACTTGTTACCCATACTTTTTATTAATTCTTTTATAAAAACATGACCTAATTCCAGTCTGTAAAATATTCACTGATAGTTATATAAGAGTATTAGAAAATATACACACTTTTTGGAGGCAAATATTAGTCATAATTTTCAAATATGAAAGGTGTGAAGAGAGTTTATGGTAAGAATAATACAACTTTTAATAATAATTTGCTTGGCAAGTTTCAGAGAAAATGTATCTCAGGATAATAATTAAGCCTTCTTTAAAATAAATTTGTGAAAATTGGATCTAGTTTCTAAAAGTAAGGGACATAAATTATATAGTATGAAATATTTTAAAATATAATATAGAATAATCCCGAGACATAAATTTTTAATGTCAAGAATATCAAATTAAGAGATTTAGAAAGTTCAAAGTAGTGGTTAGGCATTATATATTTATCAAACTCCATGGACAAGTCTGATCTGCAATCTCAAATTAAGAATGTCTGGGCTGGGGCTATACCTCAGTAGTAGAGTGCTTGGCTATCATGCACAAATCTCTGGGTTTAATCCTGAACAATGAGAAAGAAAGAAAGAAAGAAAGAAAGAAAAAGAACCTCTGGCATAGAAAATGCTACATTTAAATTGAAGAAACAAGAGGAATGTGGCCCACAGTTTTAAAACTACTGAAATGAAGACTGGTGACATTATATTGTTGCCCAATGCCATAAGGAAAACACTATAGAACTATGTCCTAGATAGAGTCATTTGAAACAAAGCAAGTGCTGAGTATATGCGATACATCTATGAATTAGACAAAAAGAAAATTGAGAATGGATATTTGTTGAGAAAATGTTTAAGACTGCTCACTTACAAGGAAAGAACAGTTTCTACTGATGTGAGGAACACTTAGGACAAGCAATGGCTAGAGAGTGAAAACAGACTAAGATTTAGAAAGTGAAAACAATACATTTCTTTTCTTATGTCCCACTCAAAAATTGTATCCTAAAGACAGGTTTAGGGACCTATTTATGGAAGACAGATTTAACAGTGCATTTGAAGAGACAACACTTTGCATATACATGCACATACATCCAACATATCAGCTGCATATTGAATACTATATTTATATTTAATATAGTCCAAGAATTTGCATCTTTTCATTGGAAAGGTGGTAAAGACAATGGTATTCATTTTATAAATATAAATATATAAAAGGAGCTAACCTCTTAAAATTCAATTTAAAAGCTTTCTTTAGTAAAAAACGGTATAAAACATAATGAAAAGCAAATGCCAAGTCTCTATCATCATTAAATAAAAATCTAATACCCAGGTTAATTTTCTTTGCCTACTTCTATTTAAGTAAAATATAAAAAAAATCTTAGGTTAAGATTCAGTCTTCAAATCTAAATTCTGAGGGCAAACTTTCCTTTCAGAAGCATAAAAACATTTTCATTATCTGTTCTTTGATGAGTAATTCTGATATGCCCTCTAACAGAGGGAAAAATGGAAACCTCTCTTGTATTCTTTGCTGAAGACAAAATGAATACTTGGCATTTTTCTCCTATAAAAGCATATACTGTGACATAAAGGAAATTAACAGAAACTTCCTTCATAGCTGACAACGAGTTTAACAGGTGAAGACTTAACAAACTGTCCAACTTTCATTTTTACATACTTTTCTGACTTTCATATCCTGATCTATTTTTCCTTTTCTCCTCCAATTTTACTTAAGTATTGACACAATACTGATTAGGGAGAGTTGTAAAATTTTTTAATAAAACTTCTTTATTCTTTAAGTGCACATAGTTTTTATGTTTTCCTACTCAATCTCATTTTCCAAAAGTAAAATTATCTTATTTTTACTTTCATCATTGCCAATGTCAAGAACCAAAAGCAGATAGAAAATTCTGCAAAAATACCAGACTTTATAACAGCTAAGTTGAAATCTTATACTCATCGACTAAATACCCAGCTATTATTCCATTCTAAACATACTTGTAATTTCTGCCATTATACAATAATCCTATGGGTAACATTTAAATACACTATAATACATAAAAGTGTATCTTCTCAGTGATTTTTATCTAGTGATTTTTAATCAGTGGACTATAATGTTTAAATGAGGAATATATTACTCAGCTAATAGTTCCACTATAATTGCTTATCTGAATAAACTTTTTGGAAAAAGCAATATAAGAAATAATTCCACTACTTTCAACATCCAGTAGTAAGATATCTGTTATATGAACAAAGCTTATTTATAAGATGAATAATGATTGTTCAATTCCTCTAAGAAGCATAACAATAAAGCACAATAAATTTAGGAATGTTTCTCCAATTATCCAAATGTTTTATAACTCTTAAGCAGCCAAAATAAATTCTAAATGCAGTATTAAGTACCCTCAAAAACAAGGAATGCTCTTTATGTCAAAAATCTCTGAATAGTCAAAAGAAAAATTTACAAGATTTTGATTTAGAAAAAGTTCTTCCAAATCAATGTTTCAAACCAAAAAAAGAAAATCAATCATATTGATTCCACTGGCTTGAAATCTCCTTTAAAAAGTAATATAAAGAATGAAATGGCCCTGATGGCACCATGGGTAGAGCACTAGAGTGGAGTTAAAAAAAAAAAAAAAGAATAGACTAATAGAAGCAATAAATTTCACATATATCATAATTATCTCTAATGACTTTGGTGACTTTCCCCACACAAATTTCTGAAGTCTCCAGTAAAGGAAACTTTCATATTTACATATGTTCTATTTTTGCAGCAGTTAATTTCAGTGTTATAAACCCAAAAGAGTTATTTTTCCTGAATAAAATAGAAGGTTTTAATTTATTACAGAGAAAATGATTCTGTAACTACTTACTGGTTCTGACTCAAAACAAATTAAACTATTCAAAAATTTCCCTAAATAGAGTCCTTTATTTTCTAAATTGTTTTTACTCATTCATAGGAGTATAAACAAAAGGTCACTGGATACTGTAGTCAACAGGAGAAGGAAAATGTAAAGAGAAATTTCTCCAACATTCAACTGAGAAGACAGCTAGGTAAAAAGAAACCCATGATTTGTGGAATAAAAAAGATTATTATTATTCTAAGAAGATATTATTGTAAAAAGTCTTTTGTGGTGGTTGTTGTTCACAGATCACTTTAAGAAAGTCATACAATCATTCTTTCCTGAAAATGCATTCAATATATGAATTTCTATACAACTTCAGCAATTCCTAAATTTCCCCAAGACTGTGGACTCTCGGTGAATAACACTGGTAATTGTAAACGCTCTCTGATCTAATTCAAAAGATGATCTTATAAAAGAACTAGGTTTAAGGATCTTTTTGAACTCCAAATTAAATCAACCAGTCTTTCACTTTAAAATCTTGAATAAAGCATTTAGTAACATTTAACTAGTATAACATTTGTCACTCTTCTATAGAACATGAGACAGAAATATGTCTTTAAAAATATTTTATCTAAATGAATACTTTAAGTTATGCATGTCATTTCAATTCATTCATCAATCATACAATTATGCTAGATTTTAAAAAGTAGAATATTTGAGTATTATTGCTAATTCTTAATTATCAGAGTAAAATGCAGTATCTGCTTAGCAAAGAAAAGGCCAAGAAATTGTGCTACAAATGCTACTTAAAAGGACCCACTATCAAAGTCAACTCAGTAAATTTTCATTAGTAATATATTAAGTAGTAGTGGAATGAACCAATATATCAGTTTCAATATTCTTATTTTAATATTACTATGTACACCTAGAACTTTTGAAAATCCAAGTCAGCAACATGTGCCTTTAACATTACTACCTATAGTCACCAGTTTCATTAGTAAATTGGTATTTTTATGTGGTAGTCAGAAATAGGAAAATGATTATCTAAAGAAGGAAAGCAAGGCCACATCTCTCAACTGCCCCATTATCTATATTGTTTTATTAGAAATGCCTTAAATTTTGTTATTTAGAATAATTAGTGAATTAAACCTAATTTCTTCATTTTGTAAGTTTTAAAATTGGATTTTGTGATCTTTAGGAATGGTCCACTAAATTGAATCAAATGTATTTTCTTAAATCCATTTTAGTATAGACCAAGAATTGGTTAATAAGACTGGATTCCTTAATGTTAATCAGAAACTTGAAAAACAGATTATTATACAACCTATATCTTTATATGTACCGTATCAAATTGTGGTAATCTCTAAATTACTTTTAGGTATAAAAGCCTTAAGACCTCAGAGTGGAGAGATGTGGCTAAAGTGACAGAGTAATGAATCAGTTTCAGTTATCCATGACAGAAGATGGAAGAAATGATCACTTGGACTCTTGAGTATTATATTCAGTTTCTCCAGCTGAAATCTGGCTGAGTCTCTTGCTAGATCCCCACAATTTTCGAGAAAGCTGACCCGAACGCATCTGTTTAATCCAGAGAAATGAAGAATAGATGTTAAGAAAAAAAAAAAGGTACATAAAAATCAATCTATAAGACACTGATTTTGAAGAATGCAGAAAAAATAGGTTTTGTTAAAATAATCATTAACATTTTAAAGATTCTTGATTAATAATAAAGGTTTCTGATTTTATGTCTTAGTTAAGAAAGGTCTAATGTCAATTTGTAAATTTAAAAGTAAAATGTCCCACTTATGTCAAAATTACCAGACTCCTTTCACAAAAATATGTATCACTTAATTAAAATAAGTTTCTCAAACTATACTTCATCTAGCCAGGGAAACATAATTATGGGGAAAATGTTTTCTGGTATCTGCAGTACTAATTATGCCAAACACAAGGAAAAGAAGGAAGAAAAATAATGTTTTGATTGAAAGAAAGTAATTAAAAATATTTTCAGCTGGGCATGGTAGTAAGAGTTCAAGTCCAGCTTGAGCTAGTGAGACTTTGCCTCAAAACATTTTTTTGATCTAAAAATTACAAAGTATTTAACATGAGCATAATTAAAAGTGGTTTAGAAATCAAGAATGGCAAAAGGCCTTTGAAGATAAGAATCACATACTGTCCACCATTAAGTATGTACCACTTGCCACCTTTCCCAGCATATAACAAATATTAAACATTAGTTAAATTAGTGGATAAAAGTCAAAGTGTTTATAGGTTTAGTTAGCAAAAAAAATATGATTGTTGTAATCACTTCCAATGTACAATCTTTTTTTTTTTTTTTTTTTTTG